ACTTGCTTTCAATATGATGTTTAACACTTTGTATGTTTTTATTTCAGTTGTCTTGAAAACATGCGAGTATACATGCTAACATATTGTAAAGTTTTAAAATTTGGGGTGTGTATAAGTATATCAACACAAGTTATAAATTATGTATATCCAAGCCTATATAAATTTTAAGGAACAAACATCACTGTACTTAGGCAGGTCATAATAAGAGATTCCATGTGAAATGTAAAAAGTACCTTGAATATATTATCCGTAAGTTAACACTCTCATTAGAGTGACATATTTATTATTTCTGGGTTTGTGACATTCCTTTAATGCAGTTTGACTAACTGTTCTAATGGCACATTAAAAAACTATTTCAGGCCTTTTTTCCCTGTTGGAATTTGCAGACTTTATTTACATTTGAACTAAAATAATTTGAAATAATATAACACAAAACAATCACCCATTTCCCAATATAGAATATCATTTTATTCTGCCCAGAAACATTTAATTAAAGCAGGATATAACTTCAGTAATTATTTTTGCACAGAATGACTCTAAAATTAATAGACAATTGTTAAGAGTGTTTAAAAATTGGGAGATTGACAATCAAAACAATCTTAAATGCTTTGTTTATGTGATGAAAAGGAGTGATCCTTTAATTCCCTCACACACATTAAACTGATTTCACAGACTTTCTGTACTGGTGTTTAACATAGTCAAGTGCTCGAGGTTACATAAAATAAACAATCTTGAGATCTTATTGCAAATGTTTGCAATTTATGATGTAAACTGATTTGTGAAAAAATAACAGGATCCCATGTCACTGAAGCCAAAAAGGCATTTTTCAGAAATCAAAATAGTTCCGAAATTTGAGCATTGCATTTACTAAAGTATTACCATCTGAGGATCTAAAAAGTTATAAATCTAAGGAAAAACTCAAAATAGATTTTTATCAGTCCGGCTTCAAGCAAAGGCCTCTGATCTTACTGGGTCTCTTGCATCATAGGATCCCTAATAGTGTCTTCAATAATTTCTTTTAGAGCGGTTTTCCCTAACCAGGTATTCTGTAACTCCGGAAGGCTTTGCACATTCTGAAAGATTGGGGGGAGGGGGGGGGCAAACTTTTCATTATTTATTAAGATTACTGAGTTTCGACCCAAACCACATGCATGTTGGGCCTTATTTAAAATGAAAGTGAAGACTTCCTGGGACCCTTTCCCAGGTGCTCTGAAAACGGGGTTTGGAACACCCAGGCTTCTGCAGGAGAGTTGGGGCCGTGACGCCCCAGGAAAGCCGGCCCTGCCTGCCTGTGGGAGACTGGACCCGAGGGACCGGCCCGGCCCGGCCAGGACAGGCAGCCTCCGCCCGCCCTCGCCGAGTCTCCCAGAGCTGACGCGGAAGGAGGCGAGGACGCCACGGGCGTCCCTGACGCTTGGGTCCCACAGGCCGCGCCCGGCCTAAGTTCGGCGGACCCGGCCAAGAAACTGTGGCCTTTCCCGCCCGGCCTGTGGCCTGCGCGGGTTCCCCGGCCTCCGCGCTCCCGCCGGGGCCCGACCCGCGGGCTCCGCGCCCAGCCCCGCCGCCTCCCGCCGCGGGGAACGTTGCGGCTGCCCGGGGTCGCCTGCGCGCCCCTCCTCGGGCCGGGCGCCTCGCCGCTCTGGGTCCCCGCGCGCCGCCTCCTTGACCTCGGGCTTCCCCAGGGCTCCGGCGCGGGGACAGGCTGGGCCCCCGACAGAACGGCCAGCTCCCAGCCCCAGGCTCTCCTGTGACCTCCGACCTCCCTCGGGGTGCCCGGGAAATGTCCGGACCCGCGTCGGGAGCCGGATTAGGGTTGGCGCTCGGAGCCCGCCGGTTCGGACGCGGCCGGGCGCCGACGGGAGCCGGCGGGAGGCACCTGGCCCCGGCGGGCCGAGCAGCGCGGCCGCTTCAAAGCTCACCCCGCCCCTAGGCAGCTGTTCTCGGGAAAACTAGGGACGCTCGTCTGCTGGGAGGCTCGCCAGGCCCGAGCGCTGAGTACGTCCCAAGTCCTGGTAAATGATCTTTGAAAGCTAAAAGATAAATGCGAACATATCATCCATGTCTCCGCCGAGGAGCAGCTTTGAGTGCCAACTCAACCAGGGACAGGGCCGGGTGAGGGTGGCGGGAGCACGGCCGGGGGACGCGGGGTCTCCTCTAGGCGTCCCCCAGCCCAAACGGGGCCCCACGGGACACTCGGGACACCTTCAATTTTCGCGGAGGATGCCTCCCATTCCAAGAACCCGCGCTGGAAGGGAAGGTCCTGCCGGGGCCTGGCCAGAGCCGAGTCTCCACAGTCTCTACCAACCCCTAAACGGGCAGCGCCGTTGGGCTTTACTAGGGGGTTTTCCTCTGGGAGAGGGGACCCAAAGGAGGACAGAGGGAAGGGCTCTTTGGGGTTTTAGGACGGCTAAGACCTGGCTTTACTAGATCACAGTCATGGTCCTGGCTTCTATCTTTTCCTAAATTTAACCAAACGGAGAGCTACGTTGGTCCAAGAGTTAAACTGGGGTGTGAGGTGGGGGACCCGCCCTTCCCAGTGCCTTGGCCCCACTCCGATGCTTTTGCTTTACTCCCAAAGTATCGTCGCCAGCCAGTCTCTGGGGAGGGTGGGCGCCGTGGGACTGTCTGTTATGCCACAATTAACTCAGGTGAATTCACGCCGCGTGATCCCGCTACCTTTTCTATCCAAGGTATCCCCCAAATAAACTTCAAGGGTCAAAGTGCAGCAAAATGGAGAACGAGAGTCCATCTTGGGGAAGGGGGTTATTCTATTCTTATATTACACATTATCTGTTCTTTTATTGATTAGGTGTAAAAATCAATCCGGTTTCTATGGGGGGGGGGGTGTAAAATGGAGGAGAGGAAGTCTCCTTCCGCGCTGTATAGAGCCACAGAACCACTATTCTCACAGCTTCTTGATTGCAGCGTGTCGCAGCAAAGGCAAGCACTTTCCAAGTTGGTGTAATCTACAGATACACATTCATCAAAAAGGAAGAAGGAAAGACTATCTTGGATAGTTTAATAACAACAGGAACAAAGATGACGCGAATCCCATCAAATGAAACAATACTATTTTCATTCAATTGATCGCAAAGTGTCTTCAATTAATAACTTGGCACTTATTTAAAAGGTTTAACAGAGGTGAAACCGAAACATTTTGTACGGACAACACGTCATGAAATAACAGCATCTTTTTTTTGTTTAAAATAACTTAATACACTAGAAAAAATATGGTAAATATAAATAATTTGTTTTCATGGAGAACAAATAGTAACAAAGCTCAACCGCATACCCAAGTTCAGTTCAAAGAGCTTTCCTCTTTCTTGTAAATAAGAAGGGGGAAAAAAACAAAAAACAAACAAAAAAAAACCTAAGGAGGCTTTCTAGAGAATTGGGATACAGATTGCTTAGTCCAGGGTACCCCATTTTAAACAGCTACATGAATTGAAACAAACAAAAAAATTACTTTAATATACACTTTTGTGAGATAAAATGCAAATGTTGAAAGTCAACCATCAGTTCACACATTATAGCCAAAATAAACTTTGTTCGTGTGTATCAACATATTTTACAGAAACCTAGTGCCTGTATCTAGCTGGATGTTGTTTAAGGTGAGTGTGACAGAATAGAGAGGGGGAAATAAAGCAAGGTCCTCAAATAGGACTTCAGCTAACCAGCAAGAGTGTATACAAGAAAGGGGGGAGGGAAGAGGACTATCACTGAGCCCCTGCTATGCATCAGGCACCTTGTGAGGCGCTGTACCTTCTTTATTGCATTTGGTCTTCTTGTTGTCTTTTTCTTTTCCCCACATTTCGCCCGCCTCCGTTTTCTTGGGACAATCAGAGCGTGAAGTTTTTCCCTTCGGACTTTTTATTTTGTCTCCCAGGATCAAAGATGGGGCAAAAGTATATATAGGTAGATAGATACACATCAATTTCCAGATGCTTTTGGTATTGTTTTTCGTACTGAAGATGAAAATGAAGTAAGTACATGTGAGTAAAGCAGGGAGGGGGAGACACCATCAATGGAATAAAAGTAACATGCAAACCGGAATTTACTGCCAGCAGTCTGGACAGTTCTGCCATAATAATTTCCTCAGAGAAACCACTGTCTGTGGTATCATTTTTTTTTTTTGTATTAATATCATTTTTTTTCTCTCCTTGTTTTTATACTCTCTTCCCTCTTCTTGCTCTTCCATTCGTGGTGGTTTTTAACTCAAAGCATTTGATTCAACGTAAAAGGAGGCCCGCCTCTCTTATCAAATTTCTCGTATTAAAATGAACTTCGCAGAAAAAGGTCAGTTTCAAAACCTGTGAACTTCCCAGCTGCGCACTTTTTAAAAATCTTAACTCTTTAAATAAGTATACCTCTTCCTTTTGTTTTGCTTTCTTAGCCCATGGGGGGGGGGGCAAACTTTAAGTTGGTAACTCCACAACCCCCCATTCTCTCGAGATTGGTCCAGGTTATTTTTCCATATTTTTAAATGTATAAAATATTTTAATTTTTAATTTTTTTGTTCCTTGGTTCTCTCTCCGATTTCAGCTTCTTTCAAATAGCAATAAGAAATAAGTTCCCTTTCTCTTTTCCTGCTTGTCTTTCTACTTTTTTTGTTCATTTTTTATTAACAGGGTTTTTATTTCTGCGCAAGAGTCCATCGTTGCAGCTTTGCCATGAGCCACATTATGGTGTCCCAGCACTCCCTTGCCCAATCTCTCTCCAGACTTCCCCAAACCCGCCCCTACAAAGCTGAATTTTAGGCCCATGGGAAGGTGAATGATCAGGAGCGACTGAGTTGCATGATCCGCTTTGTGGGATCGCAGGTGCCGCGCGGAATCCTGCCCTCCGAGTCCGAGATGCTGAAGCAGGCAAGGGGCGATCAGCCAGGAGGAAAGAGGCTGGGCTTCGGAAGTGCGGAGGGGGTAACGGAGAAGCAGCGGAGCGCAGAGAGCGTGCAGGGTGCACACCGCGCTGGAGGCGCAACATTGGCGCTGGCGTTGGAGTCACAGACCCAGGGCGGCCGCGTGCTTTTTGGCTTTCAGTCTGAGATCCGCGATGCTGGAGTTCTTGCTGGTGGTCTTGGCGGCGGCGGCGGCAGCCACAACAGAGGCGGCAGAGGCCGAGTCCGCGGCCAGCGTGGCCAGCGGCAGTCCGAAGGGCGGTGCCGGGAACATCATGTACGGCGCGTGCGCGGCCAGGTGCGGGTGCAGGTGGTGGTGCGCGTGCGCCACGGCGCTGTCCAGCTGCAGCTGCGCCTGAACCTGAAAGGACAAGGGCGTCACGTTGCAATGACTATCCTAGGGTGACAACAGAATAGAAACAGAGCATTAACGGCGTCCAGCCTGGCTCAGTGGAAGGCTAGGGCGGGGGGCAGGAAAGGGGCATTTGGCTGACCTTCTCAGTCAGTTACTGAATCTGGGGAGCCACAGGGATACTCCAGTGCCCATGAGTCTCTTCAACTCACAGAGCGAGACTTATCTCCCTGGGCCCAGGGGACACAGGACTGCAGGAATGTGTCTGCCCCTTCGGGAGCTGGGCCCATTAAGAGGGTGACATTGCTATTGTTATAAAACATCACCTTCCTCAAAATAACAATGGTGTATTGGCAAAACGGGGTGAGAACCAGTTATCCTCCACTCTGTATATGTAGACATATACATCTTACCTCACTACTAAAGCACTGAAGTACCAACAAGCAAACCACAAAACTTTGTATGTCACTAAGGGAAGTTACTGCATCTTCATCACAATTAGCACAACTGTTAGTACTGCTGTAAGAATTACCTGGGGAATCTTGTTTAAATGCAGATTATGATTCAGAAGGTCTAGGTTGGAGTATGAATTTCTGAATTTTTACTGTACCTGATGCTGCAGACCTACAGATCCCCTTCTGAGAAATAAGGGTCTCCTTTTAAGAACGCCCCCCTCTTTCTCCAGTCATTTTTTCTGGCTTCAAAAGTCTAGCATCAAGATACCAGAATCCAGTGGTGCCAAGAAAGCTAAGATGTCCTAACACTAACCCTCAATACACTGGCGCACACATGTGTCTCCCCAGTCCAGGGCACTGGCAACTGAGAGCTAATTCATGACTTCACAGTCCTACCAAGCAGGGGTTCTGGTTGAGGATGAGGTAGTTCAGGCACTGGTTGGGAAAGGATTGCGCCTTTAGGCTTGAAAAGCAGGGAGTTCAGAGCACTGAGATTTCCCAGGATTAAATCATTGCTGCAGGCTGTCCTTTTAAATGTAGTCTTGATGGCTAAGAAAGGCATTGCAGAGGCAGGGCATCCCTGGGAAGACCAAGGCAAGGCTTCCTTCTCTACCAGAGATGAAGCTTTATTTGTAGACAGCTTTAAAAAAAAATCAAGTCTGAGTTGAGAGTACTTTTATTTATTTATTTTTCTTCTGTCAGAGATAGTTAATGTGACTAAGAGGTAGAAAATACTGAGAAAAATATTTAGAGAATTGCCTTAGAAGCACTTTAGGACTAACCTCTGTATTGGACCTGACAAAATCTTAATCAAAAGGCTTTTCCTTCCTCTCCCCAAGCTTAATCTTTAGTGCATTTTTAAAGGATTGGTTACTGCCCTCAGGCATCTGTGGGTTTCCCATGAGGACAGAAAGGACTAGACATGTGGGCCCTTGACACTCTATAGGTTTTTAAAGGGGGGTAGGTTCACTATATCATCTCAAAATTGATTCTCCAACTGCATGGACACCAACACTAGGGCTTAGAGAGAGGGAGATGTTCAACAGTTCAAGCAAGCATCTAGGTCTTTTTACAGTTAAATACAGGTTGAAACTGGTCTGTACTTGCCTGCTGAAATGGCATCCTTAAAGCACCTACGTTGACATACGGTGCAACTCTACAAGCTTCAAACTGGCTGGCAGCCCCTATGAGGACGCCTGCAAAAAAATGAGGGAAGAAAACACAATAATGAGTTTAATACTTCCAGCACTGTTTTCCAGAGTACCAAGACAGAACTAATTTCTTTAGAAATAATCTATTATCTCCCTAAACTACTGCCATAATTAAAATAAATATAATTTACACCCAAACTTTAGGACTCTCATTAAATGCATTCAGAGCAGATTTTTAAGTAAGAACCATGGTTATCTTTGAGACGACTTTTCTGTATTTGTAATAACCTTATTCTCCATTCTCTTTTTACTTAGAATACTAAATGTTCTTTAAGATGCATACCTTTATGGAGTTGATTTTCTTGTTTTCTACATTTAGCTCTTCGATTTTGGAACCAAACCTACAAATTGGAGGGAAAATATAAAAGCTAGATGTTATGACTAAAAAAAATGTTTTTAATTACAAAAGTATGATGAAAAAAGAGTAGAGTTTTAGGCACGAATTAGGAGATATAGTAAAACAATCTTTGAATTAATAGAACAATCTCAATTTCCAAAGTTAAAAATGCAAATTAATAACAAAAATAGATTTCATAGACTTTTGCAAGATAGTTTCTTGATAAATTGCTTAGTCCTGGTTTCATCTTTCCACATTACAGAGTTCCCAAGGCCTAAAACTCTCACTGATACCTGATACCAAAGTGATAATGGGTTTAGATGTTTGCCTAGTAAGACCTGAGACGAATGTGCTCATTAATAGCCTGTAATATTAATTAGCTTCATCTTCAAGAAAAACCAAACACCAAAGCAAATAGTGACTCTTTTTTTTTTCCTGGGGGCTGAGGGAGAGGGATAAGAGTGGGGGAAGAGGTAATTAGTGTCATAAAAGCCTCACTACAAAGAAGTTTAGAATTTCTCTGTTCCTCTGTGCAACAGAGTGTAACACAGTAGCAGAATAATTGTGCTATTATCATGATAATCTAATTTGCTTCTATAGAAATAGCCCATGCCTGAAGTTAGGGTAGTAGAGAAGCATCCAGAAAGTAGCTCAAAAATATTTTTTAAGTATGAAAAAAATAAAGACCAGCAATAAAATTCACTTCTTCTGATTAAAAAAAAAAAAGAATATTCTGTGAAAGGGGGGTAGTATATAAATCAAGTACTCCTGGATACTATCTTCTCCCAGATATTACCTCTTAAATAAGCTTGCCAACTTTTAGAGGCCATATGACAGATTTTTAAAAATTCAAATAAAGCTTTATGTTCCAATAATACAGCATATTGACTGATTCACAAATTAATGTTAAAAGATATGAAAGTAAAATACTGTTTCTAAGCTTTGTCTTCTTTTTAAAAGCAAGTGTCATAGTCAATGTAAATCTTCAAAAATTCCCCTGCCATTTAGTGTAATAGAAGGGTAGATTTCATGCCAGGGTGGCATCCTTTGTGTAACTCACATGGCCTGAGGCTTCTTGCCTCTTTTTTCCCCTAGTAGAGTTGGAACTGAGATACTAATACTCATAACTGTAATAATTATCATCATGTCTTTAAGGGGTTGCTGAGCCTCTAGAGATCTCAGTACACAGAGCAAAGCAGGAGAGGCTTAAAAAGGAAGCCTCCGCTGTTGATGCTGTGATGACCAAGGCAGCCTATTATTACTTTCCCCCTTCAACTCCACTGCTGTTTTTGTCCTGATCCTATTACAAGATTCGGGGAAGCCCCATAAGAATTGCATAGTTCGCTGCAGATGGTGGTCTCTGTGCCCAGAGACCCAGGGAGTATCTGTTACAGTGATACTTTGTAACAGCTGCAGATGTTCAGGCCTAAAACTGCTCCATGTGTTCAAACAAATAATGACCATCATTTTCTCCTATTTTATTATTTGAGCGAAATACAGTCTGAAACATTTAAATTTGTTCTCCATAAGCCTAGGATATGTATGCATGTATGTATATAAATTTTCACTTTAACCATCCCCAAAGCCTACTTTTGCCATTACACTCACCCTCAGGACCAATGGGAAAAAACACACAACAAAAACAAACAGAAACAAAAACAAACTACTCCAATCCTAATATCATTGAATGTGGTACTCACTGGGGGGGGGGGGGGGGGTGTCAAACTTTGAAAATGTCAACATTAAGATCTGTGGGTTGTTTTAAAATCAAATTTCTGTAGGTTCATCTTCCCTGCTTTGGTTAAGTGAGGGAACAAAGAGTGACCAAAATGCATTTATTTCTCCGCTGTTTCACACACAGTTTGAGATCGACTGCTAACGGCAGACTGTAAATTTCTGCATTTAACAGTTGCTAATTTTCTTTATAGTCTGTACATCTATAAACCTAATTGGCATATCCGCTTGGCAAACCTAGACCCCAGAGCACACCCTCAAGGAAACCCAACTCCAGCGAACAAAATATTCGTTGTAACTTTTAAGGCATCCAGAAGATAAAACGTTTTCTGTGGGATTTTTTTTAAGGCTTATAAAAGTAGGCCCATTAGGATTAAACCACATTAAAGGCATCATGAGGCGAGGGGGGTGTGGTTTATAGAAACTCTGGGAGCAAGCCCAGCACAGCTTTCTTCTGCTGGGAACATATGTTGGGATAGGGGGAAAAAAGAGGGGGGGGGGGTTAAGACTAAGATCTACTTTGGAAAATAAGACCTCTATTTAAGACATCCCTTCCTTTCTCACTCCACTCCAGTCCCTTCGACCTGCACCCTTGGTGTGTGTTCCAAAAGCCGCCTCTCCAACCCCAGGCCTGTCCCTCCTCCCTCCATGGGCCTTGCCTTGACCTCCTCACAGCCAGGTACCTGCACGCGGGCCTCCGACAGCCCCAGCCGTTGGCTCAGTTCTTCACGCATGAAGGCATCCGGGTAGTGGGTCTCATCAAAAAGCCTTTCCAGCTCATTGAGTTGTTCCAGGGTGAAATTGGTCCGACTTCGCCTCTGCTTGATTTTGGTCTGGCCTTCGTCCTCCATCCCTTTTGCATCGTCTTTTCGATCCCTCAGCTCCGGAGACACTGAAGAGGGCACCACGAACAGGACCACACGTACGTCCACGCGCGCACACGACAACACACACACACAGATAAAAACACAACAACTCCCATTAACTAGATTTGTCTCAAGAACGATGTAGGATCCTGCTCCCTTCCGGAGTTCCTGTTCAGTCCTTCACCCGACCCAGAGGATGAGGATCCTGTAGACGCACAAAGATCAACTCTGGGTGGCCGCCCGCGGGCAAGTGGGCATTCACCCACCCATGCCCTCCACAACTGTGGCCTCAGCTCACCTCACTATGCTCCCCCACATTTCCCTGCCCTCCCCTGCGAACACAAATCCAGTTCACTCACCCTTTCCCCCACTCACTCTCCCACGCACGCACAGAAATCAAAGCTCCGCGCCCCACCCGATACCGAATGCGGTCGGGGCAGAAGGGTGCGATGAGGCCACGCTCTGGCTCTCACACGCGCCATTCAGAGTGCTAGGCCGTTCTCAGGCCAGCTCTGTCCGCGGATGGCTCTCTGTCTCTCTCAAACTTGCTGGTCTAATTTGGTAACATTTGGACCAAAGGGTCGCAGCAGGAGAACAAGACCCTTGGGCTGCGCGTTCTCGGGAGTCGCATCCTTGGGAGCTCGGCGGTGGCCCAGGGCTCGGGCCAAACCCCGTAGACAGCCCACAGGCCGCCAGGCAGTCCCCCGTTCCCCCTGCCGGACCCGGGTCGCCTGAGCACAGGCGTCCACGCCATGTTGGCAGCCTGGAGGGCTCGCCGCCCACGCCGGGCCAGAAGGCGAGAGAAATAAAACCAGCCTCCGGTGGCTCGCGGAACTGACCGCTGCCTCTGTTCTCTCCTTGTTTCTCCCCATTGGAAAGGCCGACTGGACCCTAAACGCTTAGACCCACAGAGATCAACAGGTTCAAGCGGAACATTCGCGATCCTCGGTTTCTATTGGTTGCTCAAAGCCTTTTCATGCATCCACCAGCTCGGATGTTTAATAAAATATGCATTTTTCTGCTTTGGGTTTGCACACATCCGTTGCTACTTTCCTGTCCTTCCTTCTCCTCCCTTTAAAAACAGGAGCTCTGCAAATATGAGCACACAGACACCCAAGGGATATGGATATATTCAGGGGTAGGCAAAAGTAGGCTTACAATTGTAATTCAAATAAATAATACAATAATAAATAATACAGGAACGTGTTTCGCGTACTCACAACCGTATACCTACTTTTGCCAACCCCTGTATATTAAGGCCAAGGGGCAGTGATCAGGGGAACCCTATCAACAACATAAGCTGTCCTCTGGCACCTTCATCCTCTGCACCTGAGTCCGAGACCTGGTTTTTTAAAGTGTCAAAGCTGAGTTTGGATAGTGGAGGTTGTTTGCAGTTTTCCCCATCCCAGGTTCCCGATCAGTATGGGAGTTAAAAATAATTTCCGGAAGAGCCGGCCTGCAGAGAAATTAATACTTGTCCTGAGCTTGGAAATTAATAATCCCAAGACTGCGCCTGCTCTGCGTCCAGACCCTAACCTTGCGGTCTCTCGCGTTGGCGTACCCAGGGCCCTGAGCTGCGGCTTCACTGAGGCTGCAGGAGGTTTCGTTGAGCCACCAGACAGCTATGCCAACCCTTGCCAAATTTAGGAGGACCTGGTGCCGGGTCTGGAAGAAGAAGAGCCTCTAGATCTCAGCCCAGCCTGCCATTCTTACTATAGTGATCTTAAGTGATGCCAGCACTTCTAGTTCTCAGAGTTCGTTTTGTGGACATGTGTCCTTCCTCTGGGAAGGAAGTGGATAACATTACAGAAAACATTCTAGCCAAGTTAACAAGAAAATATTTTCATTAATGTAATAGAATTTAAATATGAAAACACATTTTCCAGATTCTACCAAAGGGGTGAGAAGGCTGTCTATTTCGTGTCATCCACAATGGATACCTTTCAAACTTTTGGGACTTCAAAGAAAAAGATGTCCACATTTCCAGTTGATTAATAGACTTAATATAATCTTCATTTCGCCCCCAAATTTCCACTTATTGGCCTAAACAGGAACAGGCCGTGTTATAAACAACTTAATTGCTTGCTTAAATATGTGATTCTACGCATGTCACATATTTTCTTAATTGGAAAAATATGGCAGCACACCAGTTACTGCAGGGACCAAGTGCCAAATTAATTTAATTGTTGAACTCCTTTGAATTGGTACAGCACGCTTTGCCATTTAAATAAAGCCGTTTCCTAACACTTTGCTGGAACCAAAGGATTCTCCCCGCACAAAACCAGAGTACTGGATGATGCGAAGCAGTACCAGAATTGTGGAAATATTGAAAAACAAACTAAAAAAAAAAAAAAAAAAAAAGGAGCCTAACATGTCTTCCAAGAGAAACAGCACAGGCTGGACCTTAGCTGCTTAGGCCTCATTTTACCTTCATAGCTCAAAGAGAATGGGAAGTTTGGCCCCCAAGATCCAGGGATCCAGGGTCTTAGAGTTCTAGTGGTTTTTAGCAGTGACCGGAAACCCGGGGACGACTCGAGGGTGACATTTTCTCTCGCTCACTCTCCTTTCTCCCCTAGAAAAGGCGCTAGGTGCTAACCGTAATCCCTACGCCTGGCCCAGCTGCTGCCAGTACCCCTGCCCGCACCCGATCCCACAAACTTCTCCATTCACCCGCGGGCCGTCTGAGCTGAGGCCCCATTCTCCTGCTGGTGAAAATTGCATTTCGGTGGAATGGGAATAGCGGGAGCATCTGAAAAGGGCGCGTACAAACCCCACACGCCCCCTCCCCACAGACACTCGGACCCCACCCACGACGGTGCACACCACGGGACCCCCACCCCTCCATCATCACTCTAGCTTCCAAACTGGGATCCAAGGGCCCTCTCCGCGTCCCGTTCCCCACCCCTCTGGGCCTCGGGGTCCTCTCCCTCCTAAGAGGAGTCAGGATGGCGGGAAGGGGAACCGCGGCCGGGGGTCAGGCCGTTACCCTCGGTGAGCCGCGGGCTGCCCGGCTCCCTGCTTCTCTCGGCAGCGCCCATGTCCAGCTCCCGGACGGGAGAGCGCCCTCCTCCAGCTCCTCCGCCTGCTCCTCCTCCTCCTGCACCTCCTCCGCCTCCTCCGCCTCCTCCGCCTCCGCCTCCTCCTCCGCCGCCGCCTCCGCCGGCCGCCCGGACTGCCGGGCTGCTGCGGTCTTCGCGGCCCGGCTCCGCGCAGCCGGTCGGATCCTTGGCCCCGCGCAGCGGCCCGCTCTCAAGCACCTCCCGGTAGGTGATAGCCTCTTTCTTCTCCTTCACTTTCTGGTCAAAAGACTTGGAGACGAACGCCGTAAGTTCTTCCATCGCCGCCGATGCCCGTCAGCCCCGCGCTCAACCTCTTACAGCCAAGCCCCGTTCTTTTTTTCCTTCTTCTTTTTTTACTGCTCCAGCCCCCCCAATAATAACACATCAATGGGGCAGGGGATGGGGGTGGAGAGGGAGGAGGAGGAAGAAAGAAGAAAAAGAAGAGAAGAAAGAAGAAAGAGAACTAGAAGGAGAAAAAGAAGTAAGAAGAGGAGGAGGAGGAGGAGAAGGAGGAGGAGGAGGAGGAATAAGGAGTGGGGGGGTGGTAGGGGGAGGAGGAGGAAGAGGGAAGGGGCGGGGGCCGGCAGAGGGAAATATGAACTGATGCTTCCCTGCCGGAGCGCGCTTGTTCAATGTTAAGATCTTTGACAATTCTTCCTGCGGAGAGTTCAGATCTGATAGCAACGCTGCGCTTGAAGTCTCACTATTTATACTTCGCAAAGGCGGCCCCTTGTTCTGAGTAAATTACCTCCCTTCGCAACTCGGAGGGAGCCCCTTCCCGGGAAGCACCCGCGCCACTACCTGGAGGTGGGAGTGGGGATTGGGGGGAGAGCGAGAGGAAGAGAGGGAGGAAGGGGGGAGGAGAAACAGAGACAGAGAGAGACGAGAGAGAGAGAGAGAGAGAGAGAAATTGAGAGAGATTGAGATTGAGATTGATTAAACTAGAGAGTCCAGGCAAGCCGAGTCTGGAGTGGGAGGGCAGCGAAGGGGGACTGGGGCGGGGGGCCAGGAAGAGGAGGCAGGTCCCAGGCCGTTCGTTCGGGTTTTCAGATACCCTCGGCCGCCTGTGCACTTGGCCATTAATCCAGGATTGACAAGAACCCCTAATTAATTTAATTAGGCGTGGATTTTGCATTGGTGTCAAGACTTAGTTAAACACTGGGGAGCTGGACCTACTCCGCCGGGGCGTGGCCAAAAGGAAACTGACAAGTGCGCAGCTCCTGGAGTGTGTCGGGTATCCCGACTCTGCATCGGACCCCATGTCCTCGCTCGGAGTCGGGGTGCCGCGTAACTGCTCCGCCTCGAATCGCTGCCCGGCATCCTTGCCTTGCGTCAGGCGCCCCGCAACCCAGTTCTATGTCTTGACCTGGTATTGCAATTCTACATTTCCGCTGCCAGCTTCACCCCACATCCACCTCGCAGCCGGGTATCCTGGCTTTACAACCCTGCCCAGAGTCAGGGTCCTCTGCAGCTTGTTTAGAGGCTTCCCGGCCCGCAGCCAGAACTGAGCTCGGGTCTTCACCAGCTTCCTCGCCCTGGGGAATTTGTAATTCACCCCACTACTTGCGTTCTGGAGCCCAAGCCGACTCCTCTGCGGACAACCCCGCTCGAAGGGCCGGTCGATTTAACACATTTTCGAGCAGCTGTTCCCTGACAGATTCCATTTTAAAATGTTTCCTTAGCGCCTGATCAAGGACAGTTAGACTTCGTTCCTTCTTTGAGGTTTCAGGACCCTCGTCCCATCTCCCTTGTAACTAACTCCCTGTATCAGGTCCTCTCCCAAAATGAACTGCATGAGCTCTTCTCTAGCATCCTGGGAAACATTCTAGTTGATTTTATGATTTTGAAAAGCAAGTGATTATCCCTTTTCAAGTTAAAAACAACAACAACAACAAAAACGACGTTAAGTTTGTGCCCCTCTTAATTTTATTTATTGTGGACTATTCAAAAAGAGATGCTCAAAGAAGAAAGGTCTCTTGCTTTCTCCCTGGACTATTGTAAGCGAAACAGTTTTGTGCAAGGAATGTCTAAATTCCTGAGTCATTTGTCTGTATTGTGCAGGACAAAGCTTGCTGTGAGAAATGTGGCCACGAATGTATCTCACATAAAAATATTTACATACAGAAAGTTATATTATTTGAGTGTGTAAACCAATATATGTCTTCAAGTGTAGCTTTGGGGACATTTTCAAGTAGTCTGAATGTTAATACAGGCTTTCTGATGTTAAAGATAACTTGTGTATTTTCTTAGATCTAATACTCTTAATAAAAATAACATCAATTACAAAACTTTGGTATGTATATCTTGCACCCATTGGTTAAGGCATCAGCACGAAGATAACAGATAATTTGTAAAGTTCCATCAAAGCAACCTGAAACATTTATAAAAAAGAACACAATTAAAACTTAATATAATAGTGTTTCTAGGATATATGTAAATAGAGGCTATCCATAACTGTCATACTACTTTACTCTTCAGATTAAAATGTTCACATTTGGCAAATTTAAGATGGAAATTATACTTTTAAAAATATTACTTTGCCTTTTTCTTTTGAATGCTAAAGTTACCTTTTGTTCTTCTTAAAACATTTCACTTATTGCTACTTTTAGGAGAAATAATTAAGTACTTTACTTTTCCAGTGCAATAGCTTTTAGGTATTAGTGAATTACATTAGTGCTTGCTTTTATTTTATTATGCTACAAAGGAGACTGAAATACTCACACTTCTCAAAGTTATGTGAATTTAGGAACACGATTTTACATTGTAACCACTTTAATTCTGATATTATCAGAGGGGACTAACCATAAAACTTTAATCTTTTATGAAATTCTGTTTGTAAGGTTATTGAGCAGAATGACCAAAAAGAGCTCTCAAACTGAGGTGTTAATTACTATTCACAAACAGCTCCAAAATAACAACTTTCGAAGTCTGGTAAGGGATCAAGAGACTCACTTTTTTTTTTTGCCTTGACTTCTAAATCTGATCTCAAATTCCATCTACTGAGCTTGAGGGAAAGATGACCACTTTAAAGGTAATCGGGGAAGGCTCAGATTATTGTTGTGATTCACACCAAATAGATTTTCCTGACACATTGGCTCCTTGTATATTTAGGAATAGTGGTCTTGATATCAGATAGTTATGAGAGATCTGCAGTGTCTGACCACGGATTCCACTAGCCTAAGGGAATTCTAGTTTTAAGAAATCCAAGTTTTTGAAATCATATGCTAATAAATGTTCATGACGTTCTCATGATGTTGTTTTATTAAATAGTACATGTTTTCTGGAAACAGGATATTTCAAAATACAATTTTGGTTAAAAAAAAAAAAAGATAATAAAGTTCAACTGACAGCCTGCCGACAGATATACAAGTTCTAATAAAATTCAGGACCCCAAAGGTCCCCCTCCCCAGCTCTTGAATTATTTAAAATAAACATATAGTGTTAAGTTTTAAGACGGTCCCTCAAAACTGGTTATTTAAGGTAGTCATTTCTGGACCTGATTTTCACCATCTCAAATATCTGCAGAAAACTGTAGCTTGGTAACTAGCAGTTCTGAATGAGTTGGTTCTCACAGTCGTCCCAAACCAAGGCCAACAGTTTATTTACCTCCACATCTCTGTGTACATATAGTAGACAAGGAAAAATGATGTTTATGCAAGGATAGATAAATAATGTAGTATGAGTAACAGAAAATGCTGAATTGTTTTAATTTCCTTTGGTGTAAACAACAACAAACACCTAAATAATTTCTCTTTCAGAAGAAACCTCCTTTCCCTGCCTCAGGCAGCCTTCCCCCACTCCTCTACCAACCAGTTTCTTTAATGTGAGAAACTAATTTGCACCCAACCGAAATGCCTTCACCTTTAGGGCAGAAGAAACACCGACTTTTAATGCATTTTTGCAAATAAATCATTACATTTTAATCACACACGACTCTGTACAGATACACTCCCATGATTTATTATTGTTGGGCGAGTTTCCTCCTCCAACAGCTTGAGATAACCAATTTTGCTACTTGTGGGTGTCTTAAACATAACTTCCTACGATGCAGATTGGTTTACTGATTATCTGTGACGATAACGACGATTACTAAGGCAATAACACTCTTCAGTCCCCACCTTTATTACTTTTTGGTTATAAGGAAATCAAATAATCCAAACAAGCAAGCACAACCAACACCAAACAAAAAATTGGCGGCGTGACGATCTATTCTCTCGGCACTCCGAAAGCCTGGTAGCCTCCATCGATGCGTTCGAAAGCTCGGCTGACGCTGCCTGGCGCTGGAACCAGGAAGGCGGTGAGCTTAAACTGAAGCAAGTTCGGAGGACGCCAGCGGCGCCTCGATTTGAAGAAACGTTTCCAGGTTTGTGGCACTTGCAAGTCGACGGGAGGTGTGATCCCAAAGGCTGGGAGCCAGGTGATGTCCCCGTCCGGGGCCTGGGGGGAGGCGCCCGCCACTGCAGGGTTCCGAGGCCCTGCTCCGGCGTGAAGAGGCGGGAGGCGGCTCGGGGCCTATCTCAGTCCGTCTAGGAGGCGGCGGGGAGCGGGCGATGGTCCCGAGGCGAGCGGGGCGGCACAGTGCGCATGCGTCTAGCTCCTGGAGGTTTCTGACCCTGGAAAGTCGGAGTTGGGGCCTTAGGAGATGGTCGGTTGTGGGGTGGTGCGAGGTCGCAGGCCTCTGGCTAGGCCCTCTGTCTGGAGGTAGTCAGAGAGGGTTAACCCCCTTTTCCTCCCCTTCTGCGTTCATCCTCTATCCTACTCATTCCCATTGATCGCTGCTTTGGGGTTTATGGGCCGGTCTTGGCAATAAGTGCCCTGTGCTTTGTCATTAACTCTAGGCAAGGTGCAGGAAGAGAGACTGCAACCTGGTGCACGCTGCCCCACCCACTCCGTTGTCTCTACATACACATTTTCTCCCCCCCCCCCCATTATTGCTGGCTCACACTAGCTTGCTGAGAGGAGAGATGGTGCAAGGTGAAATAGACTTTCCTACATATAAAGACTTATACTCGCCTTAAGCCCTCTTCCTGAACTTCAGGCCTTGTGGCCTTGTGGTCATAGTCCAAGAGCACATGGCTACCCTTAAACTCTGTTTACTTTGGTGAGAGGTTCCAGTACACTATTGCACATGTCGACTGCTCTTGATTTTAGGTCAACTTTAAGATAATTTCTCTCAGAGATTCTGTATCTTTAAATGCACACGGGAAGCCTAATAAACTTTTTTTTTTTTGCATGTTCAGAATTAGTAACCTATTTGTGAATCAACTAAACAGGTCCCAAGTAGTTAAATAAATTGCAATGTCATATATTGTCACAAAAAAGTATTCAAGTTCATCTTTGAACTTAGATGTAATAGCTCAAAGTGAAGGAGGTATGCAGAATTCTCAGGTTTAAGGATTGAAGCAGGGTTACAGGTGCAACTTTGTGGGGAAACTGGGTATCTTTTGAGAGCCCCTCTAGCCTTAGAGTCTATAAATATTCACTTTCCTTGCAGACAAAGGAGATTTACTGTTAAGTGGTAGCACTTTATTACTGCACGTTCTTCAGTAAGAGGGATGAAAATGTTTGAAACTGAAAAACTTAAAGGCTGCTGGAGCCTATTAATTGCCTTACCAACTTGACCAGTCTCAGGAAAGAGTTGTGTTATGAGTTGGAAACCTTCTGTAGTAAGACTGTTATAGTAGATGTATAGATATAGTTTCTGCTTTTATTTTCAAACCAATGGGGAAAGTCCCATGAGCAATAATGCTTAAAAAAAAAAGATATGCTAGTTTGTAAAATTTTAGCTGTCATGGAAGGAGTGTTTTGACAATTCTCTGTCTCTTTGGAGTTTTACTTCGTTAGGCTTATTAAGCTAGAATTTTACCTCAGTCATTTTTACTACCTTTGCATGGTTCTCTGCTTATTTATGGATTTCTTATGCTAAATAGTATTAACCATTTTCACTTTTCTCTATCTCTTCGAGGTGGATTTCCCATTGAAATGACTGCTCTTTTTTCTTTTCTTTCTTTTTTTGACCGTGTGTCCAAGATAAAAAAATTGTAGCTTGATATACTAATGAATGAGTAGTAGAGAAATAATTATAAACTGTCATGTCCTCTAGGAATCTTGTTCTCTCTAACTGCCTGTTTTCTGAAAAAGGTAACTCTTTTATATACCTTTATTAATAACTGAACTGTGCCTTTGAGTTCTCTTTTGAATGACCACATCTTGGTTCCACATCTTCCATCAGTCACCTAAACTTTACAATAAGATGTTTTTGTAAATTGATGTTCTACTGTTGTCATTATCTGTCTTGGCTTCAGTTCTGTAGTAGGAGTAGTTGGGTAAGATTTGCAACCGTGAGACTCAACCAGGACATACTAGAGATTAGAGTGAGAACATAAAACCAACAGCTGTAGGAGTTCTGTCCCTATGCTTTTTATGCTTATAGGTAGATTGAAAAATTGTTAGCTTGTAGGATTCCTAAAGATCTATATCATCATTGCCCTTACCAGAAAGAGCTATTGATGTGTCTTTCCATGCATTGTACCTTACCAATGGAGTTAAATATAGAGTTCTTTCTTACTAGAAGTGTGAAATATAAATTGATCACCATGACTGTGTTGAGCAAGTATATTCAACTATATGCTGGGGACATTATGGAAATCCAGAGGTGAGTATATATCTAGGGTAGTGAATCAAAGTTCAGTAACTCATTAATAGAGAAGACAGTTTTTGGATCTACCTCTGATTTTTCTCTTAGTGTTCACTTCCTTTTCCAAATAGATATTTGAACTTAACTGTAATAAAGAAATATCTTACTGAGATTAATTAGTACTTCAATGTATTTTTTCTAAAATATAAATGTATCACTTGAAAAAATATTTATAGTTTTGTGACAGTAGTTTTTCAACCATTTTTTTATTTGGCTCCTTTAAGGAAGGGTTTTGTATCTCCCGCTAACTTTTCTGGGTCAAATGAAATAATTCTATTATGGATGAATTATGTTGTTTGAAGTTAAAACAAAGATAAATTTATTTACCTGCCCTCCCCCTGCCCCAATCTCTTTTGGTCACCAACAAGATACATAATTAGATGTGTATCCTTTCCTTTTTTCCCCCCTACTTCTTTATGTCTTGCACGGGGACTTAATAAGCTAGATAAGAATGTAAACAATTATAGCTACCTTAGAGCATTGGTTCTCAGACTTTTTAGTTTTATGATCCCCTTACACTTTTAAAAATTACTGAGGACCCCAGAGACTTTTATCTATAAGATTTTTATCTATATCTAAAAATAATTGCTTTACTAGTAATTAAAAAAGAAAATTTTGAAATATTTATTAATCCACTTAAAATAACAATAATAAGCCCATTATATGGTAACACAAATAACAAATTTGATATGAAAAGTATATTTTTCAAAACAAAACATTCTTAGTGAGAAAAGTGGCATTTTCATTTTTTCAACTCTCTAATGTCTGGCGTAATGGATTCTTATATCTGCTTTTGCATTCAGTTTATTGTTAAGAATTGTTTTGATTGAGGTATATGAAGAAAATCTGTATTCACACAGATACGGTATTGAAAAAACTGTATTTTTTTATTAAGGTATAGTTAATACACAATATTAGTTTCAGAAAAAAGTAGTATTTTAATAGCTTTTCAGATAATTATTTGATATTACACCAAAACTTGACAAGTAGTAGTTCTTAAAGGTTGTTTGTAATGTGCTATTTGAAACATATCAGGGGTCTTTTCATACTCTATCACATTAAAGTCTGTTAGTTTGTCTTGCACTGTGAATGGATTTTTTTCCAATTTTTATTACTTTATTTTTGTTACAGATCCCCCCCCCCCGCCCCCCCGGAAATCCTCCTCCCAGTCCCTACCCCCCAGCATTGTTGTCTATGTCCATTGGTTATGCAAACATGTATATATGTTCTTTGGTTTATCTCATCCCTCCTCCACGCCCCTCCTCTGAGGTTTGTCAGTCTGAATTGTACTCCTTTCTGTGTTTCTGGGTCTATTTTGTTCATCAGCTTATTTTGTTCATTATATTCCACAAATAAGTGAAATCATGTGGTATTTGTCTTCCTCTGATTGGCTTATTTCGCTTAGCATAATACTTTCCAGGTCCCTCCACGTTGTCTCAAAGGATAAGAGATCTCTGTTACAGCTGCATAGTGTTCCATTGTGTATATATACCACAGCTTTCTTTAACCATTTATCCATTGATGGACACTAGGTCTGTTTCTCGATCCTAGCAATTGTAAATAGAGCTGCTATGAACGTAGGGGTCCATATATTCTTTCTGATTGGTGTTTTAGGCTTCTTAGGATATATTCCTAGAAGTGGGATCACTGGGTCAAATGGCAGTTCCATTTTTAATTTTTAGAGGAAACGCCATAGTGTCTTCCATAGTGGCTGCACCAGTATGCATTCCCACCTGCAGTGTACTAGAAGTTCCCCTTTTTTTACACCCTCACCAGCACTTGTTGTTGATGATCTGTTGATGGCAGCCATTCTGGCAGGTGTGAGGTGATACCTCATATAGTTTTAATTTAATGTCCTTTTTTTTTTTTTTTATGGTACGTGCCCCTAGCGGGAACCGAACCTGGGACTCTATGTTCCACAGGCCGATGCTCAACCACTGAGCCAAACTGGCCAGGGCTTAATGTCCTTTTTGGAGAGGTGTCTCTTTAGGTCCTCTGCCCATTTTTTAATTGGGTTCTTTGTCTTCCTTTTGTTGAGTTGTATGAGTACTCCATATATTTTGGAAATTAACCGGTTATCTGATGTATCATTGGCAATTATGTTCTCCCATAGAGTAGGTTCCCTTCCCATATTGATGGTTGTTTCTTTTGCTGTGCAGAAGCATTTTAATTTGATGTAGTCCCATGTGTTCATTTTTTCCTCTGTTTCCCTTGCCTTAGGCACTGTATCAGTGAAAATTCTGCTGCGTGTGATGTCTGAAATTTTGTTGCCTACATTTTCTTGTAGGATTTTTTTGATTCATGAGTCACACTTAAGTCTTTCATCCATTTTGAGTTTATTCTTGTGTATGGTGTAAGTTGGTGGTCTAGCTTCATTTTTTTGCGTGTAGCTGTCCAATTTTCCCAACACTATTTATCGAAGAGGCTGTCTTAACTCCACTGTATGCTCTTGCCACCTTTGTCAAATATTAATTGAGCATATTGTCTTGGGTCAATTTTTGGGTTCTTTATTCTGTTGCACTGATCTATATACCTGTTCTTGTGCCAGTACCAGGCGGTTCTGATTAGTGGCTTTGTAGTATAACCTGATATCCGGTATCGTGATCCCTTGTACTTTGTTCTTTTTCAAGATTGTTGTGGCTATTCGGGGGTCTTTTTTGGTTTCATATAAACTTTTGTAGTATTTGTTCTAGTTCTGTGAAATATATTGTTGCTGTTTTGATGGGGATTGCATTGAATCTATAGATTGCTTTGGGTAGTATGGACATTTTTAATGATGTTAATTCTTTTAATTCATGAACAAGGTATATACTTCTACTTTTTATATCTTCCTCTATTTCTTTTTTCAATGACCTGTAGTTTTCTGTGAAGAGGTCCTTTAATTCTTTGGTTAAGTTTATTCCTAGGTATCTTAATTTTTTTGCTGCAATGGTAAAAGATTTTTTTTTAGTTTCTCTTTTTGTGAGTTCATCGTTGGTGTATAAGAATGCTGTCGATTTCTTGATGTTAATTTTGTATTCTGCTACTTTGCCAAATTCGTTTATTAAATCTAGTAGATTTTTGACGGAGTCTTTAGGGTTTTCTATGTACAATGTCATGTCATCTGCAAATAATGACAGTTTTACTTCCTCCTTTCCAATATGGATCCTTTTTATTTTTTCTTCATGTCTAATTGCTGTGGCTAAGACTTCCAGTACCATGTTAAATAAGAGTGGCAAAAGTGCTGTCTTCTTTCTGTTCTTAAGGGAAATGCTTTTAGTTTCTGCCCATTGAGTATGATGTTGGCTGTAAGTCTTTCATATATGGCCTTTATTATGTCAAGATATCCCTTTATTCCCACATTGCTGAGTGTTTTTATCAGAAATGGGTGCTGGATTTTGTCAAATGCTTTTTCAGCATTTATTCATAAGATGATATGGTTTTTAGCCTTCATTTTGTTATGTGGTGTATCACATTTATTGATTTGAGAATATTATTATACCATCCTTGCATCCCTGAGATGAATCGCACTTGGTCATGGTGAATAATTTTTTTGACGTATCGCTGGGTCCTATTTGCTAATATTTTGTTAAGGATTTTGGCATCTGTGCTCATCAGGGATATTGGCCTATAGTTTTCTTTCTTTGTGGTGGCTTTATCTGGTTTTGGAATTAGGATTATGCTGGCCTCATAAAATGAGTTTGGAAGTCTTTCATCTTCTTAGATTTTTAGGAATAGTTTGAGGAAAATGGGTGTTATATCTTCTTTGAATGTTCGGTAAAACTTCCCCATGAAGCCGTCCAGGCCTGGGCTTTTGTTTGCTGGGAGTTTCTTGATTATATCTTCAATTTCCTTAGTTGTTACTGGTGTGTTCAAGTTTCCTATCTCTTCCCGGTTCAGTTTTGGGAGACTGTTTCTAAAAATTTGTTCATTTCGCCTAGATTGTCCAATCAATGGGAGAGAACATCAGTTAGTTGCCTCCTGCATGCCCCCACTGGGGATCGGGCCCACAACCCCGGGCATGTGTCCTGACCAGGAATCGAATCAGTGACCTCTTGGTGCATGGGTCGACGTTCAACCACAGAGCCACACCGGCCGGACAATAATTCTTACTAAGTTGCTTGTAGTTCTCACTAAATTGTTTGGGTACCCTTAAAATCATTGCTTTGAATTCTTTGTTTGACAGATTGCTTTCTTCCATTTCCTGTAGTTCCTTTCCTGGTGATTCCTCTTTTTCTTTCATTTGGGTGTTGTTTCTTTGGGTGTTGTCTCACCATTTTAGTAATCTGGTAGATCTAGGCCTGGTGAGGGATGTTGGAATGTGTAGGCAGGTCGGTGTGTATCAAATAAGGCTGCTTTGCCTCCCAGACTGTTTTGGTGTATGACACCTTTTACCTGGTGTGGGTCCTGGAGGATTGAAAACTGGCAGCTGGTATTGGTCTGTCGTACAGGTCTCGGCTCCCTAAGTTTTGCTGCTGCTGGGGCTGGGGCACCGCTCCTTATCAGCCTATGCTGATGCCACTGGGGATGGGTCTCAGCTGCTGATCTGTGCTGCTGCTGCCTGGGGTGCATTGGTCCAGCTGTTGCACTGCTGGGCTGTGTGGGTCCCACTGGTGCTCTGCTGGAGTACGTGGGTCCCACTGGTGCGCTTCTGTTGTGCGTGGGTCCTGCTGGTGTGTTGCTGGGGTACCTGCTGCCTGGTGGGGCTGAGCTCCTGATCAGTCGCTGCTGGGGGCGAGTGTCAGCTCCCACTTTGTGCTGCTACTGCTGATGCTGTTGCCAGGGGGTGCTCTCAGCTCCCAGTCCTCACCTGTTGTTGGGGGCTGAGGATGCTCTCAGGACTTTGCTGCTGCTGGGGGAGGGGCTCCACTCCAAATTTGCTGCTGCAGTTGTCAAGGGCAGGTCTCCGCTGCCCGAGTCTTGCTGCTGCTTGGGCTGGGGCACTGCTCCTGATCAGCCTCTGCTGATGACACTGGGGATGAGTCTCAGCTGCCAGTCTGTGCTGCTTCTACCTGGGGATGGATGTCTGCCCCAGAGTCTTTTCTGCTGGGGGTGCATCTTAGTTCCCAAGCCTCAGCTACTGTTTGGTGTGGGGCTCTACTCCCACCCACTCACTGCTGCTGTAGGGGAAGGTGCTGGGCTCCCAAGCTGGTGCTAGTGCTGCTGGGGGGTGTCTCAGCTCCGGAGCCTCAGCTTCTGTTAGGGATGGGGCTCTACTCTTGCCCAGTTACTACTGCTGTGGGGGATGGTGCTGGGCTCTGATCAGGCTGCTGCTCTGTGGGATGGTGCTCTGCTCCTGGCCAGTTGTGGCTACTGCAGCAGGCACCTTGATAGCACTGATACTGTGCCCTGGTCTGCATTGACATAGTAGGCTCCACTGGTTCAATGGTGCAAGGCGCTCTGGTGGACTCAGGTCACTGGGCCTTAGCCGCTCCCCCCTGCCTCCACCCAGAGAAGACCAGGGATCTTCTAAAATGTCGGGGCCTCCTGACCATGCAGGGAGAAGCTCTCTGACGAGCCGCTTATTGTTGTAGCCAGCTGCTTTCCGTCTACAGTACAGGAACCTTCTGCCCCATGTTTCTGCACTGCTCAAGGTTGCTCGTCTATACTCACATCCACTCACACACTCTCTCACACTGTCACACACTCACCCTCGCTCTGGTCCTGCCCGCCCCCATCTTCCTTATCTGATTAAGAAAAACTTTTTTAGATATATTCTTAGAAGTAGAATTGCTTTGTGAAAAAAGCATCAACATTTTTTATGACTATTTAAATTGTTAATTGCTTTCTGGAAAGACTAATTCCACCACTTTATACAGGTACTAGCAGTATGAAGATGAGTTGACTGACTTTACAATAACCTCATCAACTTTGATACTTAAGTTAAAATTACCTTCCCCAAATTTCACAAATGAAATGATGATAGTATATTATTTTACTTTGTACTCTGTTGATGACTAATGAGTTCTTATTCCTTTAAAAATTTAGAATTTTCTGTTAGAAAAATATAATTCTAAAAGATAATAAAATGTTTTATCTTTAGGAAATGTGAAAATGAAGTATTAGGTAGTTGATCCCTAAATCAAATATATAATTAATCATAAATGCAATTTAAAATATAAGAAAATTGTTATAATGAGCTGTCCTCAGGATTGACTCTTGAGATACAAAATTACTATATTAAATTTCATCCATGGTGCCATGTTAGTAGTAATTTTCTTTGAATTTAAACTTGTAGAAATGGGACGCCGTTCATCAGATACTGAAGAAGAAAGCAGAAGCAAGAGAAAAAAGAAACACCGTAGACGGTCATCTTCAAGTAGTTCTTCAGATAGTAGAACATATAGCCGAAGAAAAGGTGGAAGGAAGTCAAGGTCAAAGTCACGATCTTGGTCCAGAGATCTTCAACCTCGCTCACATTCTTATGAGAGAAGGTGATTTAAATAATTTTTACTTACATAGTAATGAGATTATATTCTTTAGAATTCTTATAATTTTGTACTTTTTATTTTTCTGGGTAAAACATTTTTCTTTTAGTAGTTATATATTTATGAGGGTTAAGTTCCAATCCAGAGGTGTTCCCCACTCCCAGGCCCATTCCATGGGTTTTGTGTCTTCCTCCTTTGTCTATTCTTTGTAGACAAGTAGATATAAATGAGTATATTTCTCATACTATATTATCTGATAACATTTGGAAGGATTGTGTGCTACTTAACACCCCTAATGTCTTAATTTGTAGCTTCATAATTTGTAGCTAATTCAGTCACTAAATTATGAAATCAGTCATCTGACTGTTCAAGAGCAGTAACATTTTATCTCTTTTTTGCTTTTAGGAAGGTGTAAGACAGTAAATAAAAATGAGATGATTCTTTAGAATCTAGATGATTTTTCCTTAATGCTCATACAAATTTTTTTATAGCAATGATATTTGATTATATTTTATTTCAGACGCAGACATCGATCAAGCAGTAGCTCTTCTTATGGCTCTAGAAGAAAACGAAGTCGAAGTCGTTCAAGGGGTCGAGGGAAATCCTATAGAGTTCAGAGGTCTAGGTCAAAAAGCAGAACAAGAAGGTATGCCAATCAGATATATATATATATATTTTTTTATCCTCACCCAAGGACATTTTTGCATTCATCTTCAGATAGAGCGGGAGGGAGAGAGGGAAGAAGAGAGAGAGAGAAACATCGATGTGAGAGAGACATATCAACTGGCTGCCACCCGCATGACCCTATTTGGGCCGGGGACAAACTGCAACCAAGGTACGTGCCCTTAGTGGGAACCGAACCCAGGTCTCTCTGAGTCCACAGGCCGACGTTCTAACTGCTGAGCCGAACCAGCCAGGGCGCCAATCAGATATTTGTTGCTTTGTAACACACTTTCCCCACATTTAATGACTTAAAGCAACAATCACTTATTTTCTCATGATTTTACAATTTTGACTGAGTTCAGCCAGCAGCTCTTCTGCTAGTCTCATCTGGGTCACTACTGTGGTTGTAGTTATCTGATGACTTGGCTGGAACTAAATGTTCCAATGTGGCCTCACTCAGGCATTTGGTTCTGGCTTTTGGGTATTGTCTGGGGTGCTTTGGTTCTCTTATGGCTTCTCATCCTCCAGTAGGCTAGTCTGAGCTTCTTCACGTGATGGGGTAAATATTTCAAGAGGGTTAAAGCAGAAGCTGCAATATCTCTTAAGGTCTAGCCTCAGAAATAACCCATTGTCATGTGGAGTAAATGTGTCTCCCCCTAAATTCGTATGTTGAAGCCCCAATACCCAGTATAACTGTATTTGGAGATAGGGTCTTCATGGAGGTAATTAGGATTAAATGAGGTCATAAGGGTAGGACCCTAATGCAGTAGGGCTGGTGGCTTTAAAAGAAGAGGGAGAGAGGGAGATCTTTCTCTCTCTTTGAGTGTGAACTCATAGGAAAGGCCATGTGAGGACACAGTGAAAAGTCAGCCATCTGCAAGCCAGGAAGAGCCCTTACCATGAACGAAATCAGCCAGCATCTTGATCTTAGAGCCCCCAGAACTGTGAGAAATAAATTTTCTTTTGTTTAAGCTGCTCAATCTGTGTATTTTGTTGTAGCAGTTTGAATTGACTAATACACGTTGTCATTCCATCTGTGTTTTCTTGCTGTGCTCAAGGGCCAATAATACAGAGAACAGCCTATCTGAAAAGAGTTGTATATTTGGGACAATGGTTGAAAATATGGTTGAACAGGATGGGGACCATGGTATTGAGGGACTTGATAAAAGTAGGTATTCAGAAGTTACTGAAAGTTTTTGAGCAGAAGAGTGTTAGGATAAAAACAAGGGTTTAGTAAGATAAACTTCTTTTCTCTGCTTAGTTTTTTTACTTAGGTTTTAGTTGTGGGGTATATTAGCAGACTGATTTTGTTACTTTGGCATAAACTTTTATAAATCTCTCTATGAATCTGAAGTTGGATAATGGTAATAAAGTCCAGATATTTAGCTTTTCTGACCTTGTAGTTGGATTCAGTCTCCTCTCCTTAGTACACACTCTGTGAATAAGCCACTCTGTATTATATGTACCTGTGCTCTTTATCTCTGAGTTGCTAACTTTGTTTCTTTGAGCATGCTTTCTTTAAGTTTCCTGCAACCTTCAATTCTCTTCCTTAAATCCTGTTTTGATTTTTATCTTTTCACTCCCAAGTCAAATTTAATCCATCCTTTCTCTTACCTACCATTTCGTGTGGCTCCTGATATGTAACAGTTATATTATGAATATTATGTCTTTGTTACAGTTCATATATCATAAACTCTTACAAGAGGAATGTCTTGGTATCTAGAATAATACCTAGTAAACATACCTTGACTAATTAGGTCATTAATTGGAGAAATAAAATTAGGTAGAGAGCTGATTTCTGTAGTAAGGAAAAGTTTTATTGTTTATTGACTTGTAGAAGGAAAGCTTTATTTTGGATGTATTGATTTGTCTAAAAGGAGGCTGATAACTAGAAAACAAAGTCAGTTGAAATTTCCTATCAGTGGAAGTAGAAGTAATAATTCATGCTTTTTTATATGTATTTTTTAGGTTAGAAAGTATTTTCACCCACCTTGAATTAGTTGATCAGAGTTTGATTAGGAAAAACAGAAGCCACTGAATTCCAAGCACTAGGATTTTAACACGGGGAATTAAAGGCTTTGTTACCTTTGGAAGAGCTCAGGGAATTAGGAAAGCAGTCACTGATTATTTCAGCCTGAAGCGTTGAAGCTGGTTATTTTCTCAGAAGTCACTGGAAATCTTAAGAACTCTCTAGGTTTATAGCAGCAGAATGGGTGGTTCTCAAGAAACTACCCACCTGGAAGCTGCTTCTCTGCCCAATTATGTATCTACAACTACCTCCAGAGGGAAATCTGGAAATGTTAATTTCTTTTCCTTTGCAATGCAGGGAAGAGCTTAAAAGTGATGGCAGTAATATCTAGTCAAAAATAGACTATTCAGCACACATGTTTAGTAATCTGAGTTTTAGAACTATGTCTGACTCCGTATTCTGTTTCATTTGTCTATGTGTCTGCCTGTATGCCAGTATCATATAGTTTCGATTTCTGTAGCTTTGTAATATATTTTGAAATCAGGAAGTGGGAGGTCTCCAGCTTTGTTCTTCATCAAGATTGTTTTGATTATTTAGGGTCCTTTTAGATTTCACTTCAATTTTAGAATTTTTTTCTATTTCTGAAAAAAATACCATTGGGATTTTGATAGAGATTGCATTGACTCTGTAGATAACTTTGGTAGTGTGGCCATTTCAACAATATTAAGTCTTCCCAAGCCATGGATATGGGCTGTCTTTCCATTTATTTGTGTCACCTTAAATTTCTTTCACCATTGCAGTTTAAAGTGGACAGAACTTTTGCCTCCTTGGTTAAGTTTATTCTTAAGTATTTTGTTCTTTTTAATGCTTTTGTAAGTGGGATTATTTTGTTAATTTCCTTTTCAGATTGTTCATTATTAGTGTTTAGAAACACAGCTGATTTTTGAGTACTGATTCTGTAACTATTGAATTTGTAAATTCTAAAACTTGTTTGTGTGTGTGTGTAATCTTAGGGTTTTCTACATGTAAGATCATGTCATCTGTAAACAGAAATAATTTTACTTCTTCTTTTCCAATTTGGGTACCTTTTATTTATTACCTTTTGTTGACCTAATGGTTCTGGCTAGGAATTGCAGTTCTGTGTTTAACAGAAGTGACAAGTGTCAGCATCCTTGTCTTGCTTCTGATGTTAGAGGAAAGCTTTTGTTTTTTTACTGTGGAGTAAAAAACAGTAAAAGAGAATCTTAGCTCTGGACCTTTCATATACTATAGTGGGATACTTTTCTTCTATTCTTAATTTGTTGAGTGTTTTTATCATGTAAAGATGTTGAATTTTGTCAAATGAATTTTCCACATCAATTGAGATGATTGTGTGATTTTTGTTCTTTATTACTGTGTAGATATAAAATATAAGTATACATTTTTGTATATTTAACAATTCTTGCATTCAAGGGATGAATCCAATTTGGTTGTGGTGTATAGTTGTTTTAATGTGCTGTTGAATTTAGTTTGCTAGTATTTGTTGAGGTTTTTGCATCAATATTCATCATGTATATTGATCTGTAGTTTTCTTATAGTATATTTGTCTGGCTTTGGTATCAGGGTAATAATACTGGCTCATAAAATGAGTTTTGGATGTGCTCTCTCTTCTTCAACTTTTTGGAAGAATTTGAGAGGGATTGGCATTAATTCTTATTTAAATGTTCGGTAGAATTCTCCAGCAAAGCCATCTGGTTGTGGGCTTTTATTTGTTGGGAGGTTTTTGATTACTGATTCAATCTCCTTATTTGTTATAGCTCTGTTCCTATTTTTGTTTCTTCATGATTTAATCTTGATAGGTTGTATATATTTAAGTATTTGTCTATTTCTTTAGGTTGTCCAATTTGTTGGTGTATATTCATAGTATCATAATCCTGTTTACTTCTTTGGCATCAGTTATAGTGCCTTTCTAATTTCTGATTTCAGTTTTTTTGAGGCTCCTTATTTTCTCTCAGTTAATCCAGTTAAAGGCTTGCCAGTTTTGTTGATCATTACAAGAAACACTTTCTTGGTTTTATTGATTTTTAAAAGAAAATTTTTTTCTATACCCTATTTTGATATTCTGCTCTAATCATTATTAATGCTTCCCTTTCTTCTGCTGACTTTTGGTGTACTTTGTTCTTCTTTTACTAGTTTCTTGAGATGTAAAGCTAGGTTATTGGTTTGCGATCTCTCATCTTTTTTAATGTAGGCATTTCCAGCTATTAACTACCCTCTTAAGTTGCAATCCATAAGTTTTGATATGTTATGGTTTCATTTTCATTTGTCTCAAGATAGTTTCTAATTACCCTTGTGATTCCTTCTTTGAGTCATTGGTTTTTCAACAATAAGTTGTTTAATTTCCACATATTTATGGAATTTCTAGTTTTTCTGCTGCTATTGATTTCTAGTTTTATTCCATTGTGGTCAGTAAAGATAATTTGTAAGATTTCAATCTTCTGAAATTTGTTAAGATTTGTTTTGTGACCCAACATGTGATCTGTTCTGGAACATGTTCCATGTGCTCTTGAGAAGAATGTGTATTCTGTTGTCATTGGGTGGAGTGTTCTGTTATATCTGTTAGGTCTCATTGATTTACATTGTTGTTCAAGTCCTCTGTTTCCTTACAGATCTTCTCTCTGGTTGTTCTGTCCATTATTGAAAGTAGAGTATTGCAATCTTCTGTTATTATTGTGTTAGTTTCTGTTTCTAACTTCAATTCTGTCAATGTTTGTTTCTGATATTATATATATCCCTGGTGTGAAATTACCCTTTTATTATTACCTAATGTCTTCTTTGCCTCTAGTGAGTTTTTGACTTAAACTTTATTTTATTTTACATAACTATGTTTGCTCCTACTCTCTTTTGGTTACTATTTGCATGGAATATCTTTTCCATCCTTTCACTTTCAGCTGATTTCTATCTTTACATTTAATGTGAGTCTCTTGTAGACAGCATATAATTGTATCTTATTTTTTTCCATCTAGTCCAACTCTTGATTGGAGAGTTTAAGCCATTTAAACTAATTACTGATATGGAAAACCTACTATTTCTATTCTTTTAGTTGTTTTGTGTTTATCTTGTAGCTATTTTGTCTTTCTTTTCCTCTGTTGCTGCTTTCTTTTTGTTTTGTTGATTTTTTGTATTAATATACCTTGATTTCTTTCTTATTTTCTTTTGTTTTTTTGTTTGTTTGTTTGTTTTTTTATCCTCACCCGAGGACATTTTTCCATTTTTTGTTCAGGTAGAGTGGGAGGGAGAGAAAGGAACAGAGAGAGAGAGAGAAACATCGATGTGAAAGCAACACATCGAGTGGCTGCCACCCGCACAACCGACCAGGGCCAGGGACAAACTGCAACCGAGGTACGCGCCCTTAGCGGGAACCGAACCCTGGTCTCTCAGGACCGCAGGTCGACGCTCTAACCGCTGAACCAAACCGGCCAGGGCCTTATTTTCTTTGGTGTATCTTCTATAGTATTTACTCTGGGGCCACCGTGGGACTCATATAAAACATGTTATAATTATATAAATCTACATTTAGTTGATAATAACTTAATTTTAATCATATACAAAAACTACACTTTTACATCTGCCCATCCCCACTTTATGTTGCTGATGTCACAAATTATATCTTTATATATTGTGTATTCATTAACCTAATTTTATAATTATATTTATTTATCTTTTAAATACTTTATTTTTTTAGAGTAATTTTAAGTTTGTAGCAAAATTGGGAGGTGGTATAGGATTTCCAATATATCATCTGCCCTCACACATGAATAGCTTTCTCCATTATCAGTATCTCTCACACCAGAGTGGTATATTTGTTACAATTGATGAACTTAATTGACACATTGTAATCACCCAAAGTCCATAGTTTGCATTACAGCACAATCTTGGTGTTGTACATTCTATGGGTTTACACTAGTGATTTAATTTTTTTTTTTTTTTTTATCAGATAGAGCAGGAGGGAGAGAGGGGGGAAGAGAGAGAGAGAAACATTGATGTGAGAGAGACACATCGAGTGGCTGCCACCCACACGACCTCAACCAGGACCAAACTGCAACCGAGGCACATGCCCTTAGCGGGAACTGAACCTGGAACTCTCTGGTCTGCAGGCCGACGCTCTAACTGCTGAGCCAGATTGGCCAGGGCTAGACTAGCGATTTTAAACTTGTATGCCACGACACACTTCTATACCACATGGATTTTCAAAAATATGGTAAGAGAAAATCACTTGTAATCATTGGTATAAATCAGCGATTTTCAACTGGTGTGCAACAAGAATTTTTAAAACATGCAATACCTGACTATTTAGTCAGGGGCACTGACCTTAGATTGTCAAATCTCCTTAGATTGTCAAATAAAAAAATGATAACAGCAAACACAACAATAGCTGTCCAGTGTGAATTAATCAAAATTATACCTATTTTTTTCAGATTGGCAAAAAATATGTTTTTTGATGTGCTGCAGAATTTTAGTAGTTTATGTGTGCCATGAGATGAAAAAGGTTGAAAATTGCTAGTTTAGACAAATGTATAATGACATGTATCCATCAGTATAGTTTCATACAGAGTAATTTCAGTGCCCTAAAAATATTCTGTGCTCTGCCTATTTCACACTATCTCCCTAACCTGTGGTAACCACTGATTTTTTTTTTATGTCATATAGTTGGAATCATATTTAGCTTTTTCAGATTGACTTCTTTCATTTAGTAATATGTAGTTTAGTTTCTCTGTCTTTTCATGGCTTGATAGTTCATTTCTTTTTAGTACTATACAGGTTTCCTCACTATCCAAAAGTAGAACATTTCTATGAAACATTTTATAATGGTGTAAAGGGAGGAGTATCCCCCGGTTTCCAAAAGTTTGAGTTATGCCACTTTGCTTTTATGAAGATATATATTACTATCTGTTTTCACTAACCAAAATAAATCTGATGAACTTTCTTTTTTTTTTTAATCCTCACCCAAGGATAGGTTTTTTTCATTGTTTCAAGAGAGAAAAGGAGAGAGGGAGAGAGAGAGAAAGAAAAAGAAACATTGATTAGTTGCCTCCCATATGTACCCCAACCAGGGATTGAACCCACAACCTGGGTATGTGCCTTGACCGAGAATTGAACCTGCTACCCTTCAGTGCACGGGATGACATTCGACCAGTTCAGTCACACTGGTAAAGGCTGAAATTTCACTTTTAGTTTTTATTTTTTTTTATCCTCACATGAGGACATTTTTTCATTTTTTAAATTTTTTAATTTTTTGTTCAGATAGAGTGGGAGAGAGAGAGAGGAAGAGAGAGAGACAGAAACATTAATGTGAAAGGTACATATCGAGTGGCTGCCACTCACATGACCCAACCAGGGCCAGGGACAAACTGCAACCGAGGTACATGCCCTTAAGTGGGAAAGGGACCTGGGTCTCTCTGGACCTCAGGCCGATGCTCTAACTGCTTAGCCAAACTGGCCAGGGCTGAAATTTCATTTTTATTTTTTATTTTATTTTTTTAACCTCACCCCGAGGACATTTTTCGATATTTTGTTCAGATAGAGTGGGAGGGGGAGAGAGAGAGAGAAACATCGACGTGAAAGCGACACATCGATTGGTTGCCACCCACACGACCGACCAGGGCCGGGGACAAATTGCAACCGAGGTACGTGCCCTTAGCGGGAACTGAACCCGGGTCTCTCTGGACCGCAGGCCGACGCTCTAACCGCTGAGCCAAACCGGCCAGGGCTGAAATTTCACTTTTAGATAAAAGTCATTATGTGCTAATGTTGATCTTTGGTAAAAGCGAAGTGGCATAACTCAAACGTTTGGAAAGTGGGGGATACCTGTATAATATTTCATTGTCTGGTTGTACCACAGCTTATTTATTCGTTCGTCTGCTGAAGGACATCTTGGTTGCTTTTAGGTTTTGGTAATTTTGAATAAAGCTGCTATAGATATCTGTATATGTTTTTATGTGGACATAAATTTTTAACTCCTTTGGGTTAAGAGTGTCATTGCTGGGTCATATTGTAAGAGTATGTCTATTTTTGTGTGAAACTGCCAGACTGTTTTCCAAAGTGGCCGTACCATTTTGCATTCCCACCAGCAATGAGTGACAGTTCCTTACCAGCATTTGGTGTTGCCAGATTTTGGTCATTTTAATAGGTTTTTAGGTATCTCATTATTTTCATTTGCATTCCCTAATGACTTATAATGTGGAGCATCTTTTCATATGCTTATATGCCATCTGTATATCTTCTTTGGTGAGTTGTTTCTTTACGTCTTTGGCCCATATTTTAATAGGGCTGTTTATTTTCTTATTGTTGAGTTTTAGAAGTTCTTTGTATATTTAACAAGGTCCTTTATCAGATGTGTCTTCTGCAAAGTTTTCCCTCAGTTAATAGCTTGTCTTATTATTTGTGGACATTGTCTTTCCCAGAATAGGTTTTGTTTTTGTATCAGACTAATATTTTTAAAGGAAAAGTATGGCCTTCTTTTTAATCATTGCAAAATTTTATTTCTGCAAACAATATATAGTTATACTACAATAAAAGTATATGGTGTTTTATAAACAACTTCAAAATTCTTAATGTCATTCAATATATTTTCATTGTTCTTTAAAAAAAAATTCTTTTTTGTTGTGATTAGGATTGTTAATATCTCCCTTTGCAACTTTCAAATAATGCAATATGGATTAGTATCTATAGTCACCATGCTGTACATTACATTCCCATAACTTAATTATTTTATTACTGGGAGTTTGTACTTTTGACCTCCTTTACCATTTTTAAGAAGTTTTTAAATTTTAATGTACTCTAGCTTATTTTATTCATGGGTTATTCATTCATGGATTATTCATTTGGTGTTGTATCTAAAACATAACTGCTATGTCCAAAGGTCATCTAGATTTTTTCTGTTATATTATAGGAGTTTTATAGTTTTGTGTTTTACACTTAAGTCTCTAATCCATTCCGAGTTGATTTTTGTGGAGGGTCTAAGGTCATTGTCCAGGTTTATTTATTTATTTATTTACTTTTGCATGTGGATATCCAATTTTCCTAGCACCATTTTTTGAAAAAACTATCTTTGTTCCATCATATTACTTTTACTTCCTTGTCAAAGATCAGCTTACTGTATTTATGTGGGTCTATTTCAGGACTCTCTATTTTGTTCCATTGTTATATTTATCTGTTCTTTTTCCAGTACCATGCCATCGTGATAACTGTAGCTTTACAGTAAGCCTCGAAGTTGAGTAATGTTAGTCCTTCAAGTTTATTCTTCTCCTTCTGTATTGTGTTAGCTATTCTGGATTGTTTGCCTTTCCACATAAACCTTAGAATTATTTTATTAATATCTACAAAATAACTTGCTGGGATTTTGATTGAGATTGTATTGACTCTGTAGATCAATTTGGGAAAAACTGTTATCTGGCTGATACTGAGTCTTCATATCCATGAATATGGCACATCTCTCTATTTAGTTCTGCTTTGATTTTATTCATTCAGAGTTTAATACTTTTCCTCAAGTAGATAGTGTTTACATTTTGTTTTATTTATACCTAAGTACTTAATTTTTTGGGTGCTAATATAAATTCCACCTGTTCATTTTTGCTATATAGAAAACTTTGTGATCCTTTCATATTTAACACAAATTTACAAGGGTATTATAAAGAATTCCTGTATAACCTTTACATATCTTAATTGTTGATATTTTGTTAATAGTTATATCTTTATATAATGTGTATGCATTGATACAGTTTTATAATTTTTTAAGCTGTTGTTTTTAAAATTCTGTACCAGAATTAAAAGTGCTCTATCATTACAATATTACAAGATTTTGTATTTGTTTACATGTTTACCTTTACCAGTGAGCTTTATAGTTTCATATGCTTTTGTGTTTGTGTCTAGTGTCCTTTTATTTAGGCAGGTCTAATGGACTTTGTCAACTTTTATTTATCTGGGAAATTTTTATTTTTCCTTTTGCGAAGGAATCTTTTTCTGAATGTAATATTCTTGTTTGGCAGGTTTTTTTTTTTTTCTTATCCTCACCCGAGGATATTTTTGCATTTATCTTCAGATAGAGTGGGAGGGAGAGAGAGAAGAAGAGAGAGAGAAACATTGACGTGAGAGAGACACATTGAGTGGCTGCCACTCACACGACCCTAACCAGGGCTGGGGACAAACTGCAACCGACGTATGTGCTCTTAGCGGGAATTGAACCCAGTACTCTCTGGTCTGTGGGCCGATGCTCTAACCACTAAGCAAGACTGGCCAGGGCTTGTTGTTTTTTCTTATAGCACTTTGAAAATCTCATCCCACTCCCCTGTGGCCTGTAAGGTTTCTTTTGAGAAACCTACTAATAATTGTAATGGAAGTACTCTTGTACTTGATGTGAGTTGCTTTTCTCTAGCTGCTTTTAAAATTCTCTTTGATTTTGATTTTTGACAGTTTATTTAAAATGAGTCTTGGTGTGAGCCTTATTGAGTTCATCCTAGTTGGAGTCCTTTCGGTTTCTTTTTTATAAAAACTTCACTAGAGGACATTCCTCCATTTATCTTCAGATCGAGTTGGAGGGGGAAAGAGAGAGAAACATTGATGTGAGAGAGAAAGATTGGCTTCCTTCCTGCATGACCCCAACCAGGGCCAGGGATCAGACCCCAACGAGGGCCAGAGACCAAACCCCAACTGAGGCAAATGCCTTTGACTGGAATCGAACCTGCAACTCTTTGGTCTGTGGACTGATGCTCCAGTCACTGAGTCAAACCGGCGAGAGTGGGCTCCTTTATTTGATGTCCAATTCCTTCGTCAAATTTGGGAAGTTTTCATCCATTATTTCTTCAGATAAGCTCTTTCTTCCTTTCTTCTCTCATTTTGGAACTTCCATAATGCATATATTGGTTGCCTTATTTATGTCCCATAACTTCCTTATGCTTTTTCCTCTTTTCCATTTTTTTTCTACTCTGACTTTGTAATTTCAAAATACCTGCCTTTGAGGTCACAGATTCTTTGTTTGCTTCATCAGTCTGCTTTTAAAATGTCTAGAGACATTTTCAATTCAGTTATTATATATTTCAGTCTACCATTTTGTTTGGTTCTTTATTATAGTCTGTCTTTTTGTTGATATTCTGATTTTGTTCATGAATCATTTACAATTTTAGTTAATTGTGTATTTGTGTTCTCTTGTACATCACTGAATGTCTTTAAGACAATAATTTTTAATTCTTTTTCAGGTAAATCATAGATCTTTCTTTTGAATTGATTTTTGGAGATTTATTTTGTTTCTTTGAGTACTCTCTCACTTTTTCTTCATGAGTTTTGCAGTATTTTTTAAAAAAATATATTTTTAGCCCTGGCCGGTTTGGTTCAGCGGTTTAAGCGTCTGCATGTGGACCAGAGTCCTGGGTTCAGTTTCTGCTAAGGGCACATACCTCGGTTGCTGTTTGGCCCCGGTTGGGGTTGTGCAGGCAACCAGTCAGTGTGTCTCTCTCACATCGATGTTTCTCTCCCTCTCTCTTTCTCCCTTCCACGCTATCTGAAGATAAATGCAAAAATGTCCTCGGGTGAGGATAAAAAAAAAAAAAATTTTTATCCTCACCCGAGGACATTTTTCCATCCCTTTGTTCAGATAGAGTGGGAAGGAGAGAGAGGAAGAGAGAGAGAGAGAAACATGGACATGAAAGGGACACATTGAGTGGCCACCACCTGCATGACCAACCAGGGCCGGGGAGAAACTGCAACCGAGGCATGCGCCCTCAGCGGGAACCGAACCCAGGTCTCTCTGGACCACAGGCTGATGCTCTAACTGCTGAGCAAAACTGGCTAGGGCAAGAAAAAATATTTTTATTGATTTTTCTAGATAGGAAGGGAGAGGGGGAGAGAGATAGAAACATCGATGATAGAGAAACATTGATTGGCTGCTTCCCACACTCCCCACACTAGGGATTAAGCCCCCAACCCAGGTATGTACTCTGACGGGGAGTCAAAGCAGCACTTCTGCCCTGGTTGTTTTTGCTCAGTGGTTAGAGCATTGACCTGTGGACCAGAGAGTCCCAGGTTCAGTTCCCACTAAAGGCATGTACCTCGGTTGCAGTTTGTCCCCGGCCTGGGTTGGGGTCATGTGGGTGGCAACCAGTCGAGGTGTCTCTCTCACATTGATGTTTCTCTCTCTCTCTCTTCACCCCTCTCTCCCTCCTGCTCTCTCAGAAGATAAATGTAAAAAATGTCCTCAGGGGAGGATTAAAACAAAAACAGGACTTCTCAGTCTATGGGACAACGCTCAATCTACTGAGCTACATCAGCCAGGCAAGCTTTGCATATTTTGCTGAGTTTAGTGTCTGGCTTCATACAGGAAAATACTGTCACCAGTCAGTCCCACTATGGATTCTGAGGACCTTTGAAATGTTGTAACTTCACTAGACATGTGCATGTAAATTTATCATTTTGAAGTTTGCCAACTTTTTTTGTAGGAGCTTGTAATCTCTTGCTCCCTCTGGTGTGTGTCCGTGGTAATTCAGGTTTTCTGATACTGACAGGAACAAAGAAGCCCTGCTCCCCTTTAAAAAAAAAATTTTTTTTTCTTTATTGATTTTTTTAGAGAGAGAGGAAGGGAGAGGGAGAGAGATAGAAACATTGATGAAAGAGAACATTGATTGGCCGCCTCCTGCATGGCCCCCACCAGGGATTTGGCTCATAACCTTGGGCATGTGCCCTGACCGGGTATCGAACCAGCAACTTCTTGGTGCATGAGTCAATGCTCAACCACTGAGCCACGCCAGCCGGCCTATGCTCTCCTTTTTGTCAGTGGTCCCCAGGCATCCAAAGTATGTCAGCTCCTCATCAGCACTCTGAATCAGACAAGACATACATCTTTTCCTCAGTTAAGTCTCTGAAAATTTGGAATACTGGATACGTGCTCCACTCTTCTTCCTCCTTCCCACAGTAGAAACTTTGAGTTAGGCACCTTCTTCTGGTTGCACTGAGCCATTTTGGCCACTTTTTGCTGCACCACCGTTTCTCTGGTTCCCCAGCAAGCCACTGTCTTTTCTCTCTTGTTTCAGTATCTACCAGTCATCCAAACTATTGTGGTTTCTATAGAGTTCTGAATCAGGAGAGACAGAAACCAGCCCCTTTGGCAGCTCTCTGTGAAGCTGGAATGTTGGATCCATGTTCCTCTTTTCTCTACCCCCACGCTCTCCAGAGGAGAAGCCACAAACCAAGCTGAGCTGTGCCAGGCTTTGGGGAAGAGGTGTTATGGATAAAGTGGTAGCTCTTCTTATCCACTTCAGTGTGGCTGTTCTTTGCTTTATGCTTGCCTGGGGTACTGCCACTTTACCGGTTTCTGGAGTTCTTATAAAGATAGTTTGGTCTGTATGTTATTTCTTATGTTGTTCGCTATAGGACGAATAGGGGCTGGGACTTCTTTCTTCTTTTCCTTTTCCTTTTCCTTTTTCTTCTTTTGAAGTTCAGTTTCCTTGGAGTTTCTTTAAACTAAGAGGAAAAGCCAGTAACCTTGGAGTTTCTTTAAACTAAGAGGAAAAGGTCATAAGTTTTTATGCAATACATACTTGATTCTTTAAACAACAATTGTCAGAAATAACAGAATTAAGGAATGATGTACTTGTGATCCATACAAACCACCAACATTTTGGGTTGTACATAGTGTAAAGAAATGTTTCAAACACTTTTTGAAATACTGTTGTAGCCAATACATAGAGGCTTGCCTCAGGTGGGCATAGTAATGCAGTCTAGAAAAGGAAAATCACATGGGAACTACTCAATTTTTTCAAAATCACTGATTTTATACAATTTTTGTGCAGTACTTTTCCCTAAATCCAAGAGCAAATGTTAAGACTCTCTTCTCCTCTCTCTCTATATATTTTTAATCCTCACCTGAGGACATTTTTCCACTTTTTGTTCAGATAGAATGGGGGGGGGGAGAGAGAGAGAGAGAGAGAGAAACATTGACGTGAAAGGGACACATCAAGTAGCTCCCACCTGCACGACCAACCAGGGCCAGGGACAAACTGCAACCAAGGTTTATGCTCTTAGTGGGAACTGAACCCAGGTCTCTCTGGACCGCAGGCCAATGCTCTAACGGCTGAGCCAAACCAGCCAGGGCTCTTCTCCTCTATTTCTGATGAACTATGGTAAGCTTAGATGACTTTTCCCCTTGGATTTTACCTGGGAGTGGCCTTTAAGTCTTGTTATTTAAAAGAAGGCAGTTTGGCACTTTTATACTGA